GGTTGAATCTTGTGGATTCTTTGTGCTAGAATCAGTTAGATTATTTTCATGCGTCTTGTAGTTATACTACAAGTTATATATTAGTATTTTTATTATTTAATTTGTGAAAAAGAGTGGAATATTGGATGAGAAAGGTGCGTTGTTAATAAAGCAAGAAAGAAAAAATTTTTGATCTTGATCTTTCATGTTTTTTATACATGTTAATATATTGCAAATGATGTTTCATTTGCATATTTTATTGTCTTTTATTTATATCTTATATTCTTCTAATTATTCTTCAAAGCTGAGATATCATAAATTTATTAATAGATTTATTCAAAAAGTTTATATTTGAGCAATATTTAAAAACTTATTTATAATAGTATATCTGCAAATAAAAATTTTTTTCTTTATTAATAACTAAAGAATTTTTTAAATTATGTCATTATTGCACTGAATGAGCAATATGTTTTCTGTATAAAATATGTGTTGTAGTTTTTATAAAGACTTGAAATAATTATATTGATTTTTTAAAAATTATATTATTACATAAACAAAACATTTTTATATAACAATTTAATATTTAATCATTGAATAATTCTTAGAATATATATTGTAATAATAGGCAATAAAAAGTTGCTTCTTAAATTCAATTTCAAGAAAAATAATTAAGCAGTAAAAAATTATTGATATAAAAGGTTGAAAGTGAATAAATATTTCTTGTTTCCAAAAATCTTTATTGAATTTTTCTTCTTTGGTACAGTTGTTCCAATTTCGTTTGATATTGTGTTATTTTTATTGATTAATATTTGCCAAAACGTTATCGAAAATGCATATTTTGTAAAACATTAGAAAGCAAACCGAAACAAGTGCGGTTAATTTATACAGATTGTGCGCGTATAACGAATATTACAAAAATATCTGGAAATAGCGTATCGATAATATAAAAGGTGTTGAAATGAAACCAAAAGATTGTTGCACAAATAATTAGTTGCGCGTATGATCGGAAATAAATATTAATTTTTAATCAAATAATTTCTGTACAATGATACGGGTTTAACGCGTACGCCGCAAAATTTCACGTTTATTCGCAGCCACGAAATATTTTACCTTCCACTGAGGAGAACGACACGCTCATTAATGCTATTGAGTTTGTTTGAATGAACGAGATATTCGCGCTTCATAAAATTATTAAAACCGTCCCATCAATTAAAGCATTAATTTCCCTTTCGTTGACACAGCCACTTTTAATTATTTCCACTTTCATTCAATTGCCTCTCGCATCAAATTATCGAAAATAACAGCTCAGCGAATAATTTACATTCTTACCTTCAATTTTCCGATAGATTCACGTGGTATTAATATTCCGCTATATATTAATATCTATATCAAACAATTATTTAATAACAGTGATTATTTTATTAATAACGGACGGATTTAATTCTCTCTTCTTTTTCACCGATTATTGTAACCTTGGCCGTGAAATTTGATTTCCACATTAATGAAATTATTTTTGGATAATTGATTTTTTTTTATCGACAAATATAATAATACCAATTTTAACTGATGGGCACACACATTGACAAAAATACTGTTTCGAATACACTGTTCCAATCGTCAAATGTAACAAATGTTTGCCAGATTTTTATGACAAAAATTGTACTAACCAACGGAATCCACGTTTCATATTTCACAAGTTACAAAATGGAATTACATAATTTCGCAACTTTTTTTTCACATCTATTTTACGATAAAAATTAAAATTTCCGAGTATCAAAATTTTTAACCATCGTTAATAACGTATGACAAAATAAATATTATTCCAAAAGTACAATGTATTTCGAAAGGTCTTAAGCTGAAACCCAGAAAACTATAGCGATATACAAAGTTGGAAATTAACATTGGATCGTAGTCGAACGTCGGCACAAAGCGAATTGCGCGCAGTGGTTTACAGAAATGTGGCGAATAGTCTGCGCATGAATAAAGTATGGCCGCGTGTCGCGGTGTCGTTTAAACTCGGCGGAAGTTGTTTAAAACCGTGGGTCCGCTGATTAGCGCGAAAAGGTCGGGCAGCAAAGGGCCGCTTAGTAAACAATTAGTCGTCCAGGTAGCCGGGCAATAGGCGGCCGGTTGCATGCTAATAGGGCCGCGATAAAGAATGAAACTCGCCGTGGGGGAGGGGAGAGGGAGGGTATAATCCGGCGGAATGAACTCGGTAAATAAATAATTAAATAATTAGCGGGCCGCATGCCGGAATTGTCGACGACTCCGCGCGTTTTCT